TTATCTCTTCCGTATTCCAACACAGAAGAATTCCAGTTTTAAGGTTGAGAATTCTTAGACCTGTAACCACCTATACAGAGTGTTCTGAGCTCTTTTAACTTGTATACTTATGTTTTCTAAGTAGATTCCTCAGGAACGCCAACGGAGGGAACAGAACTGAATATGTAATCAGTAAACTCGTCATTTCAGGGCTCTACTAACATGTACATGTGTTTATGTTGCCCGTTTTGTAGTAAGGTTCTATTTGCTGGTAATTCAAGAGTTCCATATCCATCACAGAATAATTCCAGTTTTAATATTGAGAATTCTTAGAACAGTACCCACATTTACAAAGTGTTCTGAGCTCTATTAACTTGTATTCTTATGTTTCCTAAGTAGATTTCATAAAAACGCGAACAGATGGCATGGGATCGAAAAGGTAAACCTTAAACTCATCATTTCAGAGCTGTTTGAACATGATATCTGTGTATTTAAATGGCCCGTTTTGTATTAAGGTTCTATTTGCTTGTAATTGAACTCGGATGACGTCCCCCTGGGTGCGGGGTGAGGAGGAGGCTGCCCGGAGAGCGAAGCGGTCACGGTGGACGTGGCCGTGGACAGGTTTGGGGACCTGGACCTCAGGCCGTGTTTCTTTTTCAAGATGAAAGTGGCAGCCGCTCTGCCTGGGGGCTAAGATGGGTGACTTCACGCCAAGCTGGGGACGGGGTAGAGACGCCGAGGGTCCCCCTCCACCTGCCTGCCCGTGGAGAGTTGCAAAGTCAGGCCGTGTTGTACAAGGTCCCAGAAAGAAAGAAAGAGAAAAAAAAAAGCGAGCGGTTAGGGTTTGTGGTCTGCAGACTGTGAGCCCCGGGCGAGAACGATAACCCGGAACCTGTGTGGGCGGGTGGCGACCGGGACCAGGGGTCAGGCGTGGCGTCCCAGGGCGGTCGCTAAAGTGTTCAGGCTCCTGGGCTGCAGCGGGCGTGGAGGCGGGCACTTCCGACTCCCAATCCAGTGCGCGTGGCTCTCCGCCCGGATTCCAGCTCCTGGCAGATGCTGGGGGGTGCAGCTGGCGCGACCTTGGCGACCTGGCTGCGGCTCGGCGGGAGGGCCCGGGGAGAACCCTGTCTGTGTGCGCAGGGGAACCCTGTCTGTGTGCGCAGGGGCGCGGAGGTGCAGGTGCAGGGCCGGGGACGGCGGGAGGTGGACGCAGGCCTTCACAGTGACACTGCAGACCCCACACATTCTGCACAGAGGAGCCATGTCTACACCAGGGTGTCCGCCTAGACTTACCTTCTCATCTCCCTTGGATCCTGGTCTTCACTGGGCATCACTCGTGGTCGTCCGGAGTCTTTACTCTGCGTCCCACACAGGCACACACAGTGTGCGCAGGACTCATGGCAGTAGGTCAACTGACAGCCCTCATTGTAAGGACTCTAACAAGCCGTCAATGTTCAGAAGTGTTTTCCTTCCCCAGTCTTTAGGTTTATGAGGGAAAAGGGTGAAAACAGTGGAGATTAGGTGCAGTCCCAGGTTTCATTCCGGTAATCGCCACTCCTCTGTTCTCACTGAGCCTCTTCATGTTCTTAGTCCGTTGGGGGCTATAGCTTCCACGGAGCCTGGGACCGTGCCCAGCACACAAGGACTCCTCATATGACACAGGCCCACTGTCCTAATCATGCAGGGGTTCCTTCAGCTCTCTTTCAAGGAGGAGGCCCGTTAGCATTTAAGGAACAGATCAGTTTGACCTACACCTCATACATCAAAATGAATGGATGAAATAATTAGATATAGAAAATAAAATCAGGAAGGTAAAACAGAATCCAATCCTACATCAAAGCCCTGGGAAAGTTCCATGGAGAGAATTTTCTGAGACAATCTGTGACAGGAGAAATCACATGGGAAAGATTTGAGCCACAAAAAGAATGTTAAATTGCTCTAGATGACGGTTGTGACCAAAGATTTAAAAACAAACAGATGGGGGAAATGTTCATGGTAAATCTGATAAAGGGTTAAAAATTCTAGTATATGTACAGTCCATGAAAAGGAACAAAAAAAGTACCGAGATAACCTCCCAAAAGTAAACTGCACAAGTGGCATGAACTGGCATTTCCCAACAGAAGAAATAAGGAAAGTGGATATAAAAATGTATTAAAATGAGAAACCTTTAAAAATATTAAATTAATAAAAATCAAGGTTGTATCAAATGCCAGTGACAGTGGTGAAATTAGAACTGTCATATTTCACTGGCATCATTATAAATTGGTACAAACCAACTGGAAAACAATTTTGTTGTATTTTTAAGGCCCAGGCAAGAGTCATTGCTTCTTACTTTGTTTTCCCTAGAAAACTTCCAGAAAACCAAGCAAGGAAGATCATCGAAAATACTAAAGAGAAAAATACTATATGCACTAAAAATTCCTAACATTTGAAGAATGAACATTTGTAAGCACCATAAATGTCCAATTATAGGTGAATTGTTCAATAATATGTCATACGTATGGAATGGAATGAAATATGCATCTTTAAAATTACAA